GGGGGGGGGGAGGCAGCTGGCATAAAGGTCCTCCGGCTCTCCTTGGACCAGGAAAAGTCACCCAGAGGCCGAGAGAGGAGGCAGATGGTTCCTGCTGCCACCACCCCGTCATGCTTGCCGCTGGTTTTGCAAGAAGCGCCGGCTCTCCGGGACCGGAGGTGAGTGAGCGAGAGGGCCCCTGGCTTGGGCCGGCTTCACCACAGAGTGGGCCGGGGTTTGCCCTCACAGTCCCCAGCATGGCAGGAGGAGACTTCCTGGACAGCTTCCTATGAGCTGATCCTTCTCGGTGAAGCCAGCTGGGCGTCTCTTCCACCATCTTTCTTTGCAGGGGCTAAAGCAACAGTTGGCTGCTTTTACTTGTTGTCCAGTAAACACGTTTCATATAAACTAAGCGCAATGGCAAGCCATGGTCAGTGCCTGTTCTCCCCCCCCTTCGCCGTGTAACGTCCAGTTCAGAAAGCTGCCTTCCTCAAAGGGCCTGAATGTGAGCAACGGGGTTTTTTTCGTTTCAGAAGGCACCCTGGAGTTCTGAAGAAGCGGGCAATGACCCAGGGAAGCTCCTCCCCTGCCACAAATGTTGTTAGTCAGTTTGAGAGAGCCAGTTTGGTGGAGAGTCAGTTTGGTGTCGTGGTTTATTATTTATTTATTTATTATATTTATACCCCGCCCATCCCGCGAGCGGGCTCAGGGCGGCTAACACAGTGGTACGATGTACCTAATTGACATACATAAAACTTAAAAACTCTATAAAATCTCACAAACAAATACTTTAAGACATGAATTAACAGTTTCCACTAAAGTGGTTAAGTGCGCGGACTCTAATCTGGGAGAACCGGGTTTGATTCCCCCACTCCTCCTCCACTTGCACCTGGCTGGATGACCTTGTTGGGCAAGCCCTAGTTCTGATAAGAGCTGTCCCTGAAAAAGAGCAGTTTCTGTCAAGAGCTCTCTCAGCCCCACCGACCTCCCAGGGTGCCTGTTGTGGGGAGGGGAAGGGAAAGGAGTTTGTGAGCTGCTCTGAGACACCTTTGAGTAGTGAAGGGCGGGGTATTAATCCAATCTCTTCCTCCTCCCCCTCCTCCTCCTAGTCTTGAAGATGCTGCTGGAATCTTACTCTTTTCTACGCTGCAGACAGACTGGAATCTGCAGTGGTATTTCCCACTGCTTCGGCTACACTCTCGCTCCGTCTCCAAAAAAGATGTCCACCTCTCTTTAGGTTTCGCTCTCCTACTGCACTGTTATAATTTCTGCTGTCTGCACTGTTTTATTGCCCTATGGTTTTGGCTCAATCATGACTGTGGCTTCTCTCCGGCTCAAATGGATGTGCTTAAAAGCACTCTAAGCCCCCCACCCCCCAAAAATGCTAATCGGAGGCTTATCTGCTCTGTTTACCTTCTGACAGCACATAGAGGGATGTAAGAAACTTTTCCCTTGCTTGACAGGCTAAGTGTGAATGATTTTGTCTTGTTTTGTGATTTTTATATTGCCTGAAAAGTTAGTGAAAGATCCCTTCGACATACATACATACATTCTGCAAACTAAACACCCATACAGTCTTTACAGTTTTTTTGGGCCATTTTGGCTATTTTTGCTTTCTTGTTTAAACCAAAAACTGGGCAAAACTGAAAGCTGAGAACATCCTTCTCTTTGAACGTAAAGAGAAGTTTGTTGTAGCTTGTTGGCTTGTTGCCTTAAGTAATTTATTGCCTCATGTAAAGCCAATGGGTGCCGGCAAACTCCCGGAGTGCTAGAGAAGAGAGAGAAGAACGGCAACATTCCCGACCAGCGAGCAGGAAAAAATAGCAGATTTTTGGTACCACTTTGAAAAAAGTATCACACCAGTATAAAGAGGGACGGCATCAAGACGGCTTTAAAAATGAAATGCAGATTCAGCCTTATAACAGGGCCACCCGTCTTGATCTGTTTTCTTGGGCATAATCCCCATAAAGTAACCCCATAGCATTGCCATCTGTAATGCCCTTGAATTCAGCTCCTCTTTCTCTCAGCCTAATTTTCTGTGAGGATGAAACAGGGGTGGGAAAACAATGTCCGGGATCCCTTGAAGGGAGGGCAGGACGCAAATGCGTGAATGAATCCGTGCCTAAAAAGGGACAGAAAGAAAGTGGTACACACCTGTGATTGTCCCCAACCTTTATAGATAAGAAAAACAGACCCAGGAATCTGAAAACAGGTGCAAGAGAAACATTAAGTTCCAGAGGGGAAACTGGAAGACAGTAAGAAATGCTGAACAAAGTTCGAGTCCAGCGGCACCTCTGAGACCGACAGAGTTGTATTCAAAGTGTAAGCTTTTGCGTGCACGCAGACTTCCTCAGACAAGAACGAAAGAAAGAAATGCTTCCCATGCCAAATGCAGGAAGAGAAAGGGAAAAAACACCAGCGGGGGGAGAGCAGGGTGTGGGGGGTGATGGTGGAGAAAATTCCACTTAGAGGGACTGTTGGGGTGATCCTAGAAGACCAGTTCTGATCCACCAGGGACTGAGCTTATCGCAGAGTACGTGAGTCGAGGGGGGTGAGGAGGAGTACGGAAGGAAATGAAGACCCTTGGCCAGAAAGTTGCTTCCTGAGCCCTATGCAGAGATGTTCCCTGTTCGGATGTTGAATGATCCCATCTCACGTTCAGTCGGCTGCTTCCAAATCCACGCTTTCGTGGCGCCAGTTTGGTGTCGTGGTTAAGTGCACGGACTCTAATCTGGGAGAGCCGGGTTTGATTCCCCACTGCTCCTCCACTTGCACCTGGCTGGATGGCCTTGGGCAAGCCATAGTTCTCTCAGAGCTGTTCTTGGAAAAGAGCCGTTTCTGTCAGAGCTCTCTCAGCCCCACCCACCTCCCAGGGTGTCTGTTGTGGGGAGGGGAAGGGAAAGGAGTTTGTCAGCCGCTCTGAGACTCCTTTGGGTAGTGAAAGGCGGGGTATACATCTAATTTCTTCTTCTTCCTCCTCTTCTTCTTCTTCTTCTGGCCAGCTCAAAAGACAGCCCTACAGGCTGGTTGGTTCTGGCACAGCTGTTCTTGAAAAAGAGCAGTTTCTGTCAGAGCTCTCTCAGCCCCGCTGACCTCACAAGAGAGTGTCTGTTGTGGGGAAGGGAAAGGAGTTTGTAAGCTGCTCTGAGACACCTTTGGGTAGTGAAGGGTGGGGTAGAAATACAATCTCTTCTGGGCTTGGAAAAGGGGTCACTGGGGGTGTGGGGTGATATTTGTGAATTTCCTGCATTGTGCAGGGGGTTGGACTAGATGACCCTGGAGGTCCCTTCCAGCTCTACGATTCTATGACTTAGATGATGCAGGGGGGACGGGGGGACATGATAGAGGTCTCTGGCCTGTAAATGGTAGTGATAGAGGTTTATCAAATCATGCATGAGGTGGAGAGATCTGACAATGGGAACTTTTTCTCCCTCTCTCAAAATGCTAGAACTTGAAGGCATCGAATGAAGCTGATGGGAAGTAGGTTCAGGACAGACAAAAGGAAATACTACTTTACACAGAGAGTGATTGAAATGTGGAATTTGCTGCCAGAGGATGTAGTGATGGCCACAGGAATAAACAGATTTAAAAGGGGATTAGACAGATTCATGGAGAATAAGTCTGTCAGTGGCTACTAGCCATAGTGACTGAGGGGAGCCTTCACATTCAGAGGCACTCATCCTCTGAATCCCAGAGCCAGGAGGCAATATCAGAAGGCCTCGGCCTCTCTGCCCTGTTGCTGGCCCTCCAGAGGAACTGGCTGGCCCCTGTGTGAGACGGGAGGCTGGACTAGAGGGACCCTCCCTGGTCTGACCCAGCAGGGCTCTTCTGAGGTTCTTATCAGGGGAAGGCCTCGGCCTCTCTGCCCTGTTGCTGGCCTTCCAGAGGAACTGGCTGGCCCCTGTGTGAGACGGGAGGCTGGATGGACCCTCCCTGGTCTGACCCAGCAGGGCTCTTCTGGTGTTCTTCTCAGAGGAAGGCCTCGGCCTCTCTACCCTGTTGTTGGCCCTCCAGAGGAACTGGCTGGCCACTGTTTAAGATGGGATGCTGGACTAGACGGACCCTCACTGGTCTGATCTAGTAGGGCTCTTCTGAGGTTCTTATCAGGGGAAGGCCTCCTCGGCCTCTCTGCCCTGTTGTTGGCCCTCCAGAGGGACTGGCTGTGTGAGACGGGAGGCTGGACTGGATGGACCCTCACTGGTCTGACCCAGCAGGGCTCTTCTGATGTTCTTCTCGGGGAAGGCCTCGGCCTCTCTACCCTGTTGCTGGCCCTCCAGAGGGACTGGTTGGCCACTGTGAGAGACGGGAGGCTGGACTGGATGGACCCTCCCTGGTCTGACCCAGCAGGGCTCTTCTGAGGTTCTTCTCAGGGGAAGGCCTCGGCCTCTCTGCCCTGTTGTTGGCCCTCCAGAGGAGCCACTGTGGGAGACAAGATGCTGAACCAGAAGGACCCTCCCTGGTCTGACCAAGCAGGGCTCTTCTGAGGTTCTTACATTCTGTCAGGCATCCTTTCCACATTCATGCCTAAAGCAATGGCTGCTAGATGCTGATCAGATGGGAAACCCCTACAGCAGATGCACAGAATCATTCACACTGTCTTGCTCTGTGACTCCTCCCTCAGCGCCGCGTTCGTGCACCATGCCTGCAGTGAGCGACGATGTCCGTCTGTAATGGAAGCCGTGGGACCCCTTCCTCTTTCATCCTCCTGGGCATCCCTGGCCTGGAAGCGGTCTACCACTGGCTCTCCATCCCTCTTTCGTCCATGTACATCGTGACGCTGCTGGGGAACTGCACCCTCTTGTACACCATTGCGACGGAGCCCAGCCTCCACCGGCCCATGTACGTCTTCCTCTGCATGCTGGCCCTCATCGACCTGGTGCTCTCCACCTCCACCCTGCCCAAGATGCTCTGCATCCTCTGGTCCCGAGCTGGGGAGATCGACTTCAACTCCTGCCTGGTCCAGATGTTCTTCATCCACTCCTTCTCCATCATGGAGTCGACGGTGCTCGTGGCCATGGCCTTCGACCGCTACGTGGCCATCTGCAACCCCCTGAGGTACGACTCCATCCTAACCAACCCGTTGTTGGCCAAAATTGGGGCGGTGGTGGTCGTGAGGGGCTCGGCCTTCATCACCCCCATTGTCATCTTGGCGTCCCGCCTGCCGTACTGCAAGACCCACCTCATCGGCCACACCTACTGCGAGCACATGGCCGTGGTGAAGCTGGCTTGCTCCAGCATCGTCGCCAACATTGTGTACGGCTTGGTGGTGGCTCTCCTCGTGGTGGGGGTGGACTTGCTGTTCATCACCCTTTCCTACTGCATGATCGCCAGGGCGGTCTTGGCCTTGCCGTCCAAAGACGCCCGCCACAAAGCCTTCAGCACCTGCGCGGCTCACGTGGCGGTCATCCTGGTGTCCTACACCCCGGCGCTTTTCACCATCCTGACACACCGATTTGGGCACCACGTGATGCCTCATGTGCACATCCTCCTGGCCAACTTCTACCTCCTCTTCCCCCCCATGCTGAACCCCATCGTGTACGGGGTGAAGACCAAGGAGATCCGTGACTGCGTGATCCACATGCTTCTGCGGAGAAAGCACCTTTCCTGAAAGGACTGGAGACGTTCCGAAGGGACATAACCAGTGTTCCCTCTAAGCTGAGTTAGCGTGAGCTGGCTCACAGTTTTGAAGCCTCTGGCTCACACATTTTTGTCTCAGTTCAGGAAGGATGGGGCTCCAGAGCAAAGTAATTTATGCCAACAGCCAAATCGCTCGCTCACAACTTTCATGCCAGTCGCTCACCAAGTAGAACTTTTGCTCACAAGACTCCATAGCTTAGAGGGAGCATTGGACATAACTGCCCTTTTTTTTCCTGGTCAACAAGCTCAGCAAAATTTATTCCTGAATAATATTGGGTTAGGGTGTTTGTCTTTTGACTACAGATCTTCTAAGTTATTTGCATTGTGCCTTTATAATTGAGCGTAAGACCTTTGGTCATAGAAGCTAATAAATGTAAGTAAGTATGCATTGTGCCTATTTTTGTGTGTGTGTAAGCTTTTTCCTCGTGTGTAGGCTTGTTCAGGCTTGTTCAGGCTTGTTCAGGCATTGCAAGGGGGGGAGAGGAAAAAGTCGGTGCTTTCAGAAAGCACCTGGAAGCCCTAGTGATGGAGAAATACATGGCATGAAGTCCAGAATTTGCAGAAGGGAAGTACGACTTTGGCCTGGCGTTAGACTCCCTGGGTCCCTCCCTCTTCTTATTTCCCCTGCCAGATTAATTCTGCCTTCTGCCCTTCTTCAACCAACCAACCTCCCTCCCTCCCCACTCACGCACGCACACACAGTCTTACCATAGGCAGGCAACAAAAACACGGCAGTGCCCTCTTTCCTGTGCCGAATTAAATGAAAGCTAAAAAAAAAAAAAATGGAGATGGTTGTCATTCGGGGTGAACAAGGAGGCTGCCCTCTGCTTGTTACGAGACATACTGAACAGGCTGTCAGTAAGGTGGAATCTGCATTGGTATTTCCCACTGCTTCGGCTACACTCTCGCTCCGTCTCCAAAAAAGATGTCCACATCTCTTTAGGTTTTGCTCTCCTACTGCACTGTTATAATTTCTGCTGTCTGCACTGTTTTATGCCCTATGGTTTGGGCTCCGTCATGACTGTGGCTTCTCTCCGGCTCAAATGGATGATCTTAAAAGCACTCTAAGCCCCCCCCCCCAAAGTGCTAATCAGAGTAGGGTTGCCAGCCTCCAGGTGGGGCCTGGGGATCTCCCGCTTTTACCACTGATCCCCAGCCGACAGAGATCAGCTCCCCTGGAGAAAATGGCTCCTTTGAAGGGTGGACTCTATGGCATTGTACTGTGCAGAGGCCCCTCCCCTCCCCAAACCACACCCTCTCCTGGCTCTTCTGACAGCACATAGATGGCAGCAAGCTGTCATGATTGATCTTTTGTATATATGCTTCACCTGTCTGTGCCTCTTAACCCTGCATTATTATCTGTATTACTTAATATGTTGATAGATGTTACCCAGCAACCCCAGCGCATGCTCAAAGGCGAGCAGCTTGTTAGCGAAATGCATAACATGTCAAGGGCAGGTGGTCAGATAAGGAAGAATGTTTTGGGAACTGCTTTGGTTAGGAGCCTGGGAAAATATATATTTTGAGCAAACTAGGCCGTTATGATTCTCAGCACTTTGGCGCTATTTACCCCGAGTGGGAAACCGTCCCATTGGTGTAAACCCTGTTTGAATCTCTTTCATGTTACCTGCTTGTACCCCTGTACGCCATTCTAAACAGAAATCTTTGTAAGTGAAACATCTTTTAATAAAGTCATCCTCTGGACTGAGAAGTGGCTCGTTGATCGATGGTATCATCACAATAGAGGAATGTAAGAAACTTTTCCCTTGCTTGACAAGCTAAGAGTGAATGATTTTATCTTGTTTTGTGATTTTTATATTGCCTGAAAAGTTAGAGAAAGATCCCCTCTACATACATACATACATTCTGCAAACTAAACACCCATACAGTCCTTACAGTTTTTTGGCTATTTTTGCTTTTTTGTTTAAACCAAAAGCTGGGCAAAACTGAAAGCTGAGACAATCCTTCTCTTTGAATGTAAAGAGAAGTTTATTATAGCTTGTTGGCTTGTTGCCTTAAGTAACTTATTGCCTCGTGTAAAGCTAATGGGTGCCGGCAAACTCCGGGAGTGCTAGAGAAGAGGGAGGAGAACGACAACATTCCCGGCCAGCAAGCAGAAAAAAAATAGCAGATTTTTCGGTACCACTTTGAAAAAAGCATCACACCAGTGTAAAGAAAGACGGCATCAAGACTGCTTTAAAAATGAAAATGCAGATTCAGCCTAAATCTTTACAATATGAATGGCCTCGAAAGGGCTTGAGGCTGTTTGGGACTGCATGGCGGGTTTCTGATTCGTGTGGATGGGTTTGGCCCGCAGGGTCTTGAAGCCCCGTCGTAGGGCAAAGAGGTGCCCCCGAGCTGCTTTTTAATAAGGGGGACAGGGCTGAGGTAAAACAGGATTGTTCCTGAGAGCACTTAGATAAATAGATAGACCCAGGCCTGGCGAGATCTCCAGCAATTCTGCAGGGCCGTGAAGATAGAGCTTTTCCGCCGGGCATATCAGTGAGACTGATGTCAGGCCAGCTGAGCCTTGCCGACCCGCTAAGGCATGTAAATGGTAGTGCTTATACTGTGGTAAAAGTAAAGGTTCCCTTGCTCGAAAGCCAGTCGAATCCGACTCTAGGGTTGCGGTGCTCATCTCCATTTCAAAGCCGAAGAGCCAGCGCTGTCCGAAGACGTTTCCGTGGTCATGTGGCCGGCATGACTAAACACCAAGGCACACGGAACGCTGTTACCTTCCCACCGAAGTGGCACCTATTTATCTACTTGCAATTTCTTGCTTTCGAACTGCTAGGTTGGCAGGAGCTGGAACTAGAGATGGGAGCTCACTCCATCATGCGGCACCCGGGTCTCGAACCACTGAACTACTGACCTTCCACAGCCTGCAGTTCAGCGTCTTAACCACTTGAGCCACCGCAGCTCCTATACTGTGGTAGAAGTCTAGATATAATATATACTGAGCCATTTTATTGATATTTATGGTATTTATAGTTAAACTGTTTTATATGAATTGTTCGTGCTCTATGTATATTGGTTTTATTGATGTTGTGAGCCGCCCTGAGCCGCCTTGGCGGGAGGGCAGGATAGAAGTTGAACAAACAAACAAACAAACAAATAAATAAATGGGACAGGAATGTAACGTGTGGCGCTGCTTGCAGTGTGCCGTCTCTTGCTCTTGCTGCATTGTTTTTTCTAATTTTCTGTAAACTGATTTTGCGCTGTTGATGGTATATCCTGTTTCATACAGATTTTTCAGCATCTGTCTAATTTTGTACACCAATCGTATTGCATTGCTTATTGTCTGCCTCACACGCTTTCTGTAGCATTTCTTTTCTTTTTTTAAAATCATTTTATCTGCCTTGAGTCTTAGCAAGGAAGTTGGACTATAAACAATATTCGTTTGGAAAAAGTGCAGAAAAGGGCAACTCGAATGATAAAAGGGTTGGAACGCTTTCCCTATGAGGAAAGGATAAAGCGCTTGGGGCTCTTTAGCTTGGAGAAACGACGACTGAGGGGTGACATGATCGAGGTTTATAAGATTATGCATGAGAGAAAGAGGTACTTTTCTCCCTTTCTCACAATACAAGAACTCGTGGGCACTCAATGAAATTGCTGAGCGGTCGGGTTAGAACGGATAAAAGGAAGTACTTCTTCACCCAAAGAGTGATTAACAGTGCAGGATCGGCCTAGAGCATCCTAGAGAGCCAGTTTGGCATAGTGGTTAAGTGTGCGGACTCTAATCTGGGAGAACCGGGTTTGATTCCCCACTCCTCCACTCGCACCTGGCTGGATGACCCCGGCCAAGCCATAACTCTGGCACAGCTAGAGCAGTTTCTGTCAAGAGCTCTCTCAGCCCCACCTGCCCCACAGGGTGTCTGTTGTGGGGAGGGGAAGGGAAAGGAGATTGTAAGCCGCTCTGAGACTCCTTTGGGTAGTGAAGGGCCATGGGGTAGAAATCCAATCTCCTCCTCCTCCTCCTCCTCTTCTTCCTCTTCTTCTCAGTTTTTTGTTTGCATTGAGAGCCCTCCCAGTCCAGGCTAGGGATGGTCATGAACCGGCTCACGAACTAGAGTTCATCATGAATTTTGGCCAGTTCAGGGTTCGTGAAGGATGTTCACTAACTGAATAGCCAGCACGAACACCCAAGAACAGAGTACTGTTCTGTTAAACACCTGGAATATGTTGGATTTAAGTCCCCCATGTTAAGAACCAGCTGGGCAGATCTAGCCTTTTGATGCATTCTTTTCACTAAAAATCCCTAAAGCTCAGTACCAATATTTATTTAGATGCGTTCAAGAAACACAAAACGACCTAGACATAGCAGAATATACATCTACAACTTTGCAAGCCAACGCACGTCAGGAAAAACTAGTTCGACATTCCCCACAGACACACACACACACCTACCCCCCCTCCAAGATTTATTTCAGCCCTTGTGCAAGAGGGGAGGAGACGAGGGAATACTGAGATACTTCTGTTTGTTCAGGAGTGGACAGAACCTGGTAGACCTCCAAAGGCAGCCCAGCCAGTGGTGCTCAGAGAGGTCTCTGAAACCGGCTGGCAGAGGCTGAGGGAATTCTGGCCCTGCAGTCGGGTGCTGCTCAGCGTGAACTATAAATTAGACCCGGCCATTCCCTCCACAGGAGCTTCAAGCCCTGGCAGTGAACACACATCGGGAAGGCCACAGTGGACGCTTCTGCAAGGGAGGATTCTGCAGTATGAGAAGGTACGGGACCATATTTAGCATCAAAGAGAGCCAGTTTGGTGTAGTGGGTTAAGTGTGCGGACTCTAATCTGGGAGAACTGGGTTTGATTCCCCCACTCCTCCTCCACTTGCACCTGGCTGGATGACCTTGGGCAAGCCGTAGTTCTGATAAGAGCTGTCCTTGAAAAAGAGCCGTTTCTGTTAAGAGCTCTCTCAGCCCCACCTGCCCCACAGGGTGTCTGTTGTGGGGAGGGGAAGGGAAGGGAGATTGTCAGCCGCTCTGAGACTCCTTTGAGTAGTGGCTAGCGGGGGATACAGCCAATCCCTTGGTGTATTGGTTAGTGTAGTGGTTAAGTGCGCGGACTCTAATTTGGGAGAACCGGGTTTGATTCCCCCACTCCTCCACTTGCACCTGGCTGGATGACCTTGGGCAAGCCGTAGTTCTCTCAGAGCTGTCCTTGACAAAGAGCCGTTTCTGTCAAGAGCTCTCTCAGCCCCACCTGCCCCACAGGGTGTCTGTTGTGGGGAGGGGAAGGGAAAGGAGATTGTAAGCCGCTCTGAGACTCCTTTGGGTAGTGAAGGGTGGGGTATAAATCCAATCTCCTCCTCCTCCTCTTCTTCTTCATCAAATGGTTTCACCATCCCCCCGCCAAACCTGGCGTTGGTGCCCTATAAAGGGCTACAAGCTGGAGTGGCGGGTCTGTGTGCAGCGGGGTGCTGCTTTTCAGACTCTTTACAGAGAACCTTTTTCTCTTCGACACCTGGAGAGACCTCAGAGACGAGAGGGAAGCAACCTTGGCTCCAGAGGGCAGGGAGCTCTTTGAGCTGAAGCCAAATGCCAGGGCTTGTCTTTACTGTGCCAGGAGGGAGCCGTCTCCCCGGGACTCCAAGCAGAAAGACAAAGACAAAGAGGTTTCTGGTGCAGGGGGAAAATCCACAGAGAAGACAGCAGTAGAATTCACTGGGACTCTGCAGTGATTCTTCCTCCAGCTCATCCAAGTTTTGGAAGGCCAAATTCATGGAGACAGGAAGCCGCTTCTACTCAGTCAGGCTCTTGGCCTGTCAGGGTCAGACTTGTCTAGTGTGATTGGCGGCAGCTCTCCAGGGTCTCAGGTGGAGCTCTTTCACATCACCCGGTCCCTGCTCCTGTTCCTTTCAACTGGAGATGCTGGGGCTGAACCTGGGACCTTCTGCATGCCAAGCAGATGCTCGAAGACTCGCAGACAAGTAAGGTTTGGGTGGGCCAATCAGGATAAGTGGAGGGGCTGTGGCTCAGTGGCAGGGCATCTGTTTGGCCTGCAGATAAAATATCAGGTTCAGTCCCCGGCATTTCCAGCAAAAAGGATTAGGGGGAAGTGAGATGAAAGACCTCCAGCTGAGACCCTGGAGAGCCACTTCCAGTCTGAGTGGACAAGAGGGTTGAGATTCAGTCAGAGGCAGCTCCCGGCGTTCATGACAACATCTCCCCCCTCCCTGTACTTTAAGGGGTTCAAGTTTATTTATTTATCTTATACATTTATTTATACTTGGATTTATATCCCGCCCTACCCTGAAGGCTCAGGGCGGCAAACAAGGGCACAGTGTACCAAGATTATAACAGTAAAAACACATAGTATAAAACAGTAAGATACAATATCAAATTTACAGAGTTCTTCCCTCAGGCACCCGTAAGGAGGCCTAGAACCTAGGGCTGCCAATTCCCCCCGGGGGGCGGATTTCCCCCCGCTTTGGAGGCCCGATTTCCACCGCCGCAGAATTGGGCCCCGGGGGAAACCCCACCCCGGCGTGCACGTCACCCCGATGTGACGTGATGACGCCGGGCATGCTGGGGGCGGGGCCACAGCCATATGAGGGTGACGTGCATCCGGGTGACGTGCATGCGGTGCGTGCACACTTTGCGCACGCGTGTGCACCGGGGACGCCGTCCGGGAGCCCCCCACTGCGAGAGCAAACAGATTTGGCAACCCTACTAGAACCTCTGCTAGGCCAAAGAAATCCTACGACCTAAAAGTGAAAGATAATCATTTGTCTATGTAAATCTCTATAGAATATGTCATCATTCCTTGTTTGGGAAAGCGGTGGAAGTTGGATCAGCCATTTTAGGGGCAAACATACTCGAACTCGGAGAAAGCGGCATCTGTTGAATTTCTGCCTGTCATTTAGGTGTTAAGGATCTATAGTTATTGCTGTTATGCAATCGGGTGGGAGGGGAAACTAGAAGTTATTTCCAAGTCGGTACAGTGTAGTTTCTCTGTTCCAAGATGAAAAGGTCAAAGCAAAGCTCTTATCCTCTCCTTCCTACCCCCGTGGGAGAAAGGGAGACGGAGACGCCAGGGCGTGAGGAGCAAAAACTAGGAGGGGCCATTTAACACCAGAGGTAAGTGTAGGGTTATTATTGCTTGTTCACAGAAAAGAAAATAATCCATTAACTTTAACTCCTGTTAAATAAAGTGAAGCGCGGATGCTGCAGTAATGCGTTTCTGGCTCTGGAGGAACACAGACCCCTGTCAGAGTCCTTTTCATGTGTGTGACAAAGAGGGAAGATGCCCTCAGATCTTTCACCAATGCTTCCTCCCATCCCACTATTAGGGGGAGAGTGTGGCTCAGTGGCCGAGCACCACAGCCCCAGGTCCACCCCCCCCCCACTCCAGCTAAAGGGATCAGCTTTAAAGGAGAATTAAACAGGTCCATGGAGGGAAGGTCTATCAGTGGCTATGGTGACTAAGGGGAACCTCAACGTTCAGATGGATTCTGAATCCCAGCGCCAGGATGCAACATCAGGGGGCCACTTCAGCCTCTCTGCCCTGTTGTTGGCCCTGCAGAGGAACTGGTTGGCCACTGTGTGAGATGGGATGCTGGACTAGATGGATAATTGGCCTGATCTGCCAGGACTCTTCTGATGTTCCTCTTGGGGGACGGCCCCGGCCTTTGAGCCTTGTTGTTGGCCATCGAGAGGAGCTGGTTGGCCGCCCTGTTGTTGGACCTCCAGAGGAGCTGGCTGGCCCCTGTGTGAGACAAGAGGCTGGACTAGATGGACCCTCACTGGTCTGATCCAGCAGGGCTCTTCTAAGGTTCTTATCAGGGGAAGGCCTCGGCCTCTCTGCCCTGTTGCTGGCCCTCCAGAGGAACTGGCTGGCCCCTGTGTGAGACCGGAGGCTGGACTAGAAGGACCCTCCCTGGTCTGACCCAGCAGGGCTCTTCTGAAGTTCTTCTCAGGGGAAGGCCTCGGCCTCTCTGCCCTGTTGTTGACCCTCCAGGGGAACTGGCTGGCCCCTGTGTGAGACAAGATGCTGGACTGGATGGATAATTGGCCCAATCTGATGTTCTTATCAGGGGAAGGCCTCGGCCTGTGAGCCTTGTTGTTGGCCATCCAGAGGAGCTGGTGGGCCACTGTGTGAGACACAATGATGGACTGGATGGATCTCTGGGCTGATCCACCAGGGCTTTTCTTATGTTCTTATGTGCAGGGCCCAGGAAGAGGTCCAAGCCCTCTCCAATCCGGCATGTCCGACTTTGGCAGCAACTCCAGCAGCTGTTTTCACCCTTCATTTTTCTTCCTGGTGGGGATCCCGGGCTTAGAGGCTGCCCATATCTGGCTCTCCATCCCGCTCTGCTTCATCTACGTGGGAACTGTGCTGGGGAACTGCACCATCATGCTGGTCATCTGGGCGGAGGAGAGCCTGCACGAGCCCATGTATTTCTTCCTCTGCATGCTGGCTGGGGTGGACCTAGCCGGCTCCACCTCTGTGGTGCCCAAATTGCTCTGCCTCTTCTGGTTCGGCTCTCACGAGATCCCCTTCGAAGGGTGCCTGCTGCAGATGTTCTTCATCCACGCCCTCTCCATCATCGAGTCAGCCATATTGGTGGCCATGGCCTTTGACCGCTATGTGGCTATCTGCCAGCCACTGCACTACACGACCATCCTGACGAATCCGGTCATTGTCAAGATGGGCTGCCTGGCTGTCGTGAGGGGGGCCATCTTGACCTCCCCATTTTCCATCCTCGCCAGCAGACTGCCCTACTGCCGGACTAACGTGGTCCCTCACACATACTGCGAGCACATGGGCATTGTCCGGTTGGCCTGCGGCAGCACCGTCATCAATAACTTGTACGGCCTCACAGTGGCTCTGCTCGTGGTAGGTCTGGATCTCCTCTTCATTGGCGTCTCCTACGCCAAAATCCTCTTGACTGTGTTGAGGCTGCCCTCGCAAGAGGCCCAGGCCAAGGCCTTCAGCACCTGTGGCTCCCACATCTGTGTGATTGTCTTGGCCTACACGCCTGCCCTCTTCTCTTTTCTCACCCACCGCTTTGGCCACAACGTGGCCCCTTACATCCACATCCTCATTGGCAACTTCTACATCCTGGTGCCCCCCTTCTGCAATCCCATTGTGTATGGTATAAAGACCAAGCTGATCCGAGACAAGGTGGTCAGCCTGCTCTCCAGGAAAAAGGACATCTCCTAAAAGTGGGAGCAAGCAAGCGATGTGTTCGGTGGGGCTGTGAAGGCGAGCACCCGGATCAGCTCAAATGCTGCCATTTTCAGTCTTGGATCAAAAGCTGTTCAAGACTCAAGAGACAGAGAGTTGCGGTAGAAAGAACCCCTGGGAAAGCCAACCTCAGCAGCTTCATTTGGGGCCTGGAAACTGAACTGATGGCACCTCGAGAAGGATGAGCTGTCTTGCTTTTTCAGCACTGCTCTGGAACTTCACTCCGCTATGGATTCCTCTCCTCTTTAAAGAGACTTGCAACGTTTGCCAGTAACAGAAAGTAGCACTTAACCTTTGTTTAATTTTTGAGGGAATACAGAATAAACAAAGGGGGTAAGGGAAAATAATAAAAGGTAAAATTAGCAAATCATAGTATAAGGGGCTTTTTTTGCCAATATAAAGGATAATCCTTGATTCTGATACTTTAATTTTGGGGGAAATTGTATAACATAATAACTTTAAAAACCACTATAACAATCTAAACATTCTACCATTTTCTTGTAATATATTATTATTTTTATCCTATCTTATCAATCTGGTCAGTTATATGATAAGCCATGAATAACCTCATAAAATGTGTATATAATTTTGACATAACAGTTTGATTGTGATAAGAATCATATGGAAGAAAAAATCTTTAGTATTTCATCCTAAAACTATCACGTAATATAACCCATTCAACTGTATGACTACAAAGACTGGTTACAGTAATTATAGAAAACTCGCCAGTGATTTTCAAATTCGACTTTTGGTCTCTAATTAATGAAATTTGTCAGTTTTGCCATAACAACATATTTCTGCATTTTATCTATCCAATTCTCAAGAGTTGGACAATCTTCAATTTTCCACTTTGCTACAATTACTACTTTTGCTGCAGTTAACATATATCTATGCAATTCATGTATAGTTCTGTCTGCATTCACTGGTAGAATTCCTAGTAACATTGTCTCTGGTAAAATAGCAAATGTTATATTCAACATTTTTTGAATTTCAATATGTATTTCTATCTAATATTTACTAGTTTTTTTGCAGGACCACCACTTATGGTAAAAGGTACCATCTATTCCTTTACATTTCCAACACAGTCCTTTATAGTGTTTATCCATCTTCTCTATATCTTTTGGGGTAATGTACCAGCAATAAAACATTTTATACCAATTTTCTCTAAGTGCTTGACTCGCAGTAAATTTTATGTCTTTCATCCATAGTTTCTCCCATTGCTGAAATGAAAACTCCTTCCCAAAATTTTGTGATCATTTCACCATGGCTATCTCAACTTGTTCTGTTTCTGTGTCATATTGTAATTAGCATTTATAAATGTGTCATAGAAAATTTATTTAATTACATTTATACCCCGCCCTTCCCGCGAACGGGCTCAGGGCGGCTTACACGAGCACAAAGTGCATATATATAATATACAATATATAAAATAGATAAAAAGTTAAAAAGTTCAATACATCAGGATGCAAGGAAAGAGAAGAGAAAACTCCCACATTTTGCGTAGCAGAGGGGAAGACTAGGGCCACAATTGGATGTTACACGGTCCTCCGGCGGTAACACTCTATGGAGGATAGGTGGTGGTAATAGCAGTGGCAGCTCCTACTCATATGCCTGGTGGAAGAGCTCCGACTTACAGGCCCTGCGGAACTGCAAAATGTACGGCAGGGCCCTGATCTCCTCCGGGAGCTCATTCCACCAGGTAGGGGCCGCCACTGAAAAGGACCTGGCCCTTGTTGCTGCAAGCCTGGCCTCCTTAGGGCCCGGGGTCACCTTGCGGTGTTGTGACCCCGACCGAAGTGCTGTTTGGAGAATATGTGGAGAAATGTCGGTCCCTCAGGTAGGGCTTTAAAGGTGAGCACCAACACTTTGAAGCGAATCCGGTATGCTATGGGGAGCCAGTGCAGCGCTTTCAGCATAGGTCGGGTGTGCTCCCACCTAGGGGTGCCCACCAACAACCTGGCCGCAGCATTCTGCACCAGCTGCAGCTTCTGGATTTGTGACAGAGGCAGCCCCATGTAGAGAGTGTTACAGTAGTCTAGCCTCAAGGTGACCATCACATGGATCACTGTAGCTAGGTCGTTGCTGTCAAGGAAAGGAACCAACTTCCTCACCAGCCGGAGATGGTAGAAGGCCGATCTGGCAGTGGCTGCCACTTGGGCCTCCATCGTTAAGGTGGGGTCCAGGAGCACTCCCAAGCTCCTAACCTCCGAAGCTGGCACCAAAGGTGCCCCATCGAAGGTCAGGAGCTGGAGCCCTAATCTGGTCCGACTCAAGCACAGGACTTCCGTCTTCGCCGGGTTTAATTTCAGCCTGCTCAGTCTGAGCCACCCAGCCACAAAAAATGATGGCAACAAATAATTCTCAATTATTCCCTCCTTTAATTGGCAAGCGTCTCATTGCCCCTGTATCTACACGGAGGGGTAGGGCAGAAACAACGTTTTGTTATTTGTTTATTTACAGGATTCGTATCCGGCCTTTTTGCCCTCACAGGGGCCACCAAGGTGGCTAATGATTTAAAACATACAGGATGTTATCACTTAAAAAAACAACAACATTAAAATCAACTCACTTCCAAACATGCATCATTCAAACAATTTTTATAAAAGCAGAGTCAAAATACATACAAAACATAAAAACAACAAACAGTCAGGAAGGAAGGATGCCAAATGAAACAAAAAGCCTTCACCCGTGGGTGGGAGACGGCAACAGAAGGGGACTGGCGAATGTCCCCCGGGGGAGAGGGTTCTAGAGTTTTGGTGCCACAACCAAGAAGGCTCTCTCCCAGGTTGCCCCCTGCCTAATCTCAGAGGACGGGGGCAGCCCAAACAGGGCCTCCGAAGATGACCGCCGAAGATGACCCCTTGCCCTAGACCGAGAGCTCCTAATCTATACCTTGTGGCTAAGAGCCACTGAGGGACCTCTGCTCCAACACTCTGTGTCACACAGTGACCAAAAAGTGATGTTCGCACCTTTCTTTTTATGCAAATTTCAGTGCAGTCCTGAAAATCTTAGTATTCCGGGCAGGACTTGCATTTGCTGCCCACTAACCCACTAAAATGCCTATCATTATACAGACGTTTATTTTAAACATACTGTGAGTGAAAGAAGAGTCCAGGAAAGACTTTCCAGGGCCATCCTAAGCAGCTTTCCACAGAAGATCCCATGAGTCCAATGGGGCCTACCCCAAAGGATGCTGCATGTGATTCTAGCCTTAGCTGGGGGGGGGAGGGGTTCAAGTGATTCCCTCCCTTTCTCCCTCCTGCTTTCCTCCTCATAAAAGCCCTCAGGGCTTCTGCCTTGCTGTTAGACACTTCTCCTCAGACTGCCCATCTTGCTCGGTTTGGTGTAGTGGTTAAGTGTGCGGACTCTAATCTGGGAGAACCCACTTTGATTCTCCGCAAGCAGCCAGCTGGGTGACCTTGGGTCAGTCACAAGTTCTCTCAGAGCTGTTCTCCCAAGAGCAGTTTCTGTCAGAGCTCTCTCAGCCCCGCCTGCCTCGCAGGGTGTCTGTCTGTTGTGGGGAGGGGAAGGGAAAGGAGTTTGTCAGCCGCTCTGAGACACCTTTGGGTAGTGAAGGGCGGGGTAGAAATCTGATCTCTTCTTCTTCTCAGCAAGGGAAGTGGTTTTCTGCTACCACCGTCATACTGGGAGGATAGGAGAATGGCAGAATCCAAGAGGATCTCTGGGCACCCTCCAAGCCTTCACTCTACCCAGAGAGGCCAGGCAAATGTATTTGGCACAAGCCATACCAAACAGTCCCCATGCACAAAACTCTCACGAACAAGATTTAGCGGGTTCAAAGAGCACGATCCTCAGCTCAAGCCTAGTGGTGCCACAAAATAAATCAAGTAGTGTGCATGCAGTTCATAAGAACATGAGAGAAGCCCCAGTGTTGGATCAGGCCAGTGGCCGCTCCAGTCCAACACGCTCTGTGTCACAGAGTGGCCAGAAATACCAGGGGCCATTAGGAGGTACAATTCAAAGGTGCAATTCAAATGTGCAAATATGACAACTTTATTTGGATTAGCTCCAGAAGGGTGGCTGTGTGAGTCTGCCTGTAGCAGGAGAAAAAAGCCAGCGTCCAGAAGCACCTTCAAGACTAGCAAAATTTGTGGCAGGGGAGGAGCTTTGGGAAGTCACTGCAGTCACTTCTGGGGCGATTCACGAGGGGAAGAAGAGGAAGATGATATTGGATTTATAACCCGCCCTTCACTACCCAGAGAAGTCTCAGAGTGGTTTACAATCTCCTTTCCCTTCCTCTCCCCACAACCGGCACCCTGTGAGGTAGGCGGGGCTGAGAGAGCTCTTGACAGAAACTTCTCTTTTTCAAGGACAGCTCTTGTCAGAACTACGGCTTGCCCAAAGTCATCCAGCCAGGTGCAAGTGGAGGAAGAGTGGGGGAATCGAACCCAGTTCTCCCAGATTAGAGTCCACGCACTTAACCACTACACCAAACTGGTGTACATGTGTTCAGTGTAATATGTGTTCAATTTGGTGTAGTGGTTAGGAGCACAGATTCTAATCTGGGAGAACCGGGTTTGATTCCCCCACTCCTCCTCCACTTGCACCTGCTGGAGGACCTTGGGCAAGCCGTAGTTCTGACAAGAGCTGTCCTTGAAAGAGCTCTCTCAGCCCCACCTACCTCACAGGGTGTCTGTTGTGGGGAGGGGAAGGAAAAGGAAGAAGAGGAGGAGTTTGGATTTATACCCTGCCCTTCATGACTCAAGGGAGTCTCAGAGC